CCCAGGTAGCCCTGGGGCTCCAGTCGTACCTCCTCAGAAGGTATGACTGGACCCTCCTGGCACCCACCCCAGTCCCACCTTCGAAACGAAGGTGCGACTGGAGCCCTAGGGGTAGTAATTTGGTGACAAATGGTGTTAGTGCTCTTTGTTCGGATGCTGTTTGTTGCTACGGCCTATAGCCAAACAAATATATATATATATATATATATCTACCAGCACCTTCCGACAGGTTGCCTCTGGTTTTTCCACTTTAGGGGTAGCTAACAGTCTACCAGGGGAGACCTGTTAGACTATGTAGTTGTTAGAACTTACAAAACCAGAGGAACCTATGGGAAGGTGCTGAAAACAACATGGAAAGAAGTAACAACCCTGCACTGAAACCATTGGTGTCCCAAAGCCACCCTTCGACTCCAACCTGTGTTTCCGCAAGCGGCCTCTGCCACACTATTGCTGGTGGAAGTCTCCAAGGTCATCCCGGCTTGATTCCAGTCGGACGGTTTTGAAACAAAACGGCAATCATTCGAGCCTTGAAAATTTGAGTATAGTTGCCAATCATAACAACCAAGTAGGACATATGACCCTTTATTCCGTCAACTGGCGGAGCCAGCGGCATGCCACAAAACCTATGTAGCGCTGTAGAACAGACTGTCCCAGATTCCTGGGGTGCTGTTCACGGCATAGTCGTTTGACTTGCCCCATTGCGTCTTCGTCCTGGTAGCAGCTTGCATGCATGGGATTTATCCACCGCGCGTTGTCATACGTCAAGTGTTCCAGTCTCAGCGTGGCAAATAAAGCAGGTTGGTGCAAGTGAGAACTAAACAAGGCAAAATAAACATCCGAGTAGCTTATGGTATTTGGGGCGGATTTTCCATAAGAGCTCACCAGCTTGGATGGACTCAGCAGCTAAACCTTGAGAAGCAAACAGTAAACAGCTTTTCTCAGCACGTTGCCCTAAATCAGCAATTGTTTCAAGGAACTGTTGTGTGCCGATCTGAACAGGTAGCACGCCTTTTGTAGCCGATCAAGGTTTTCAGAAGACAAACTGGTGTGTAGACCAGGGTTGTTCTTCTTCGATATGCACTGCCTCATGATCACGAGGTTGACAAACACGGCAGCTCTCAGCCTTGGATAAGGAAAGGCCAACAAATAGTACTTAACTTCTCAAAAACAATTCCACCTGGCAACTGGGCATGTAGGCAATCTGGGTTTGCCTCTGCAACTACCAGTGTGACATGTCGCAACCACTGGGCCAAGATCACACATTCCTAGGCGTCAAACACTGAAGAATTCAAATCTTCAAAGCAGCAAACTCAAAAAGGAACGTCTAAGACAAGTGGGACAAGTGGAATCTTTAGCCAAGGAACCGCTCCGTTCATGTGCTTTTGTGCGAAAGTAGGATAGCTTTTTGGCCCATTGGGGTACAGATTTTTCCTGGGTTCAACAGGGGAACACCTCCAAGGACATGCGGATCACAAAAACGATGCCCAAACATAGGTTGACCAAGTCTCACTGAGAAGAACTGCCCTCTGTTTCCTCAAACCAAACAATGAACAACAAGACCTTGATTGGTGTTTTGACGCTTCACTTCCATACAGCAAAGGTACGGATCCCAGCCAAACGACATGCTTTGCTAAAGCAAACAAATGCATTCTTCAGCTTGCTGTCAGCATTGCCACTTCCAAAAATTGTCGATTCAGGTGAAGTCATTTCAATCCTCGGTATAACTCAGACAGCGCATACCACAACATGCCTGCATGCACATACACACACACCGAAGCCAGAACAACAACCAAGAATCAAGGCCGAAGCTGCACACTCTGGAACTATGCACAAGTCAACAATATGGAGCCAATCATACTGAATGTTCATAATGTGGAACCCTGGAATCAGTGTCCAGGTATGTACCCGACAAACCTCCGCCACAAAAGATTCGGAAGATGTTTGTGCAGACCGGTGCAAGGCTGAAGGTCCAAACGATGTGTATAAAAGAGGAGAGTCGGCTGCCGTGGTTGCGCCACAGTGTAGACATGGGTTGGCTGACACCCAACTTCTGTTTGTAAAAAACGTTCGCTGAATCCACTTCTCATCGCCTTTAATCACAGCAGGAACACACCGCCATCCATCCGCAATTTGCCCAGACCTTTGCTTGTCAAATGCTTTCCGAACAGGAAAAGGTTCTCCCCAGGGGTCCAGCTCTGAGAACACTCCATTTTGGAGCTCCGCCAATGAGAGCGCTATCCACTTCTCAAGGGTCCAGCCCGTTTGAGGAGTTGCCTGAGAGTTGTCAAGGGCGAAGCATAAGACCTTGACATCGAATAGATTCCCAGAGGTGGTCAAACTGCTCATCGTCAGCACACTGAACGTCCTCCTTCTGTGACTGTCTGCCTCGTCCCCGTGAATGGCCACCGGAATAACTCTGCTTTTGTCAATGGTCTTGGTTGCCAACTCCGAGGTAAGCACTCCCATGCACACAGGGGTCATGCAAGCCACAAACATTGTTCATATAAGATTATCTAAGGCACAGGATCTGACAAGATCGGATGTCTTTGGTACCACTCTGTTTGGGAGTGGTTCCTCCAGAACTCTTCAATTGCCTAATGTGAAAAAACATATGATTGGAGCAGAGCGACATCACATCAGGCATATGACAGCCTTCCAAGACACTCCTTTGGGTCCCACAAACTTGGCCCGAAAAAGGTTCTCGTCATAAGAATGCATGGCGCAGATTCTCAGATGCTCAGCAAATAACCCAAACACATAAAATATGTCACTGTCACACCCTCCTCCAGCCAAGAGTCACATCACTTGGAAGCAAGAGGTGCCAGGATCCAAGATAAACAGGTGGCACTCGGCTCTCATCTTTGAGAAGAACATCCACCCTTAGAATTAGAATCAAAGTTTCCCCACTAAGTTGCTTTTGTCACATTTGTAACAAACCAGATGCAAGTAAAGGCACTCCCTGATAGGTGGGAACATGCGACGCCATGGTTGGCGTTCCAACCAGCGCCAAAATGTCCTGGGATAATTTCTTTGGTCATCACTATCCAGGTTGTCCACAAGGTCCCGAAGGTTTTTCCTTACCAGCACCAAGACACATGGAGCAGTTCACATGTTCAAAACTTTGTTAGCAACAAGGATCGGTAAATGACGCCCTGGAACTCGTTTGCGGAGGATGACAAACAGGGCCACAATAGTTGACACACTTACCTAAGTTGCACACATAATAGTATAAGAGCGTTCTTTGGGACCAGGTTGGAAGAGTGCTTACTGGAATGCAAATCAAATCTTAGATACTGTCCGTGTGAGTTCAAGAAACTCCTCCACAAGATCCATGAGCCACGGATCAAGGCTACAAAACCCTGATGATGGATTTGTTCCATCTCCAGTGCAGCCTCCTTCAAACCACAGCTTGGCAAGAGTGATTGATCATTTGAATAACAGCAGTCGTGTATGGTGTGCAAGCTGCAAAGGACACATTGACTGTCTTGCAAGTGAAGCTGTGCGTAAACTTTTTTCCCCTGCCCAAACCTTTGTAGTTTAGGGTTCCCCTGCCCAAACATGTGCTGTTTAGGATTATTTCATTTGATTTGCCCGTGGTGAGTACTGCCCATAGACAGCAACATCCACGGGCCAGGCACAAAAGCTACCGAGACAAAAAACTAAAGAGTCTCGGCTGGGAAAGGGCCAGGTTTGCCGCCTTGAAATGAACAAGCCTTGTCATGAATGCGTTTCTGACGGAGACCCCCTCCGCAACTAGCCCTATCAAATCCAATCGGTCAACAAAGTTGGGATCCAAGGTCTAAGGTGGCCACACGTCTCCCTCCATTATGAAACATGGTGTAGGAAAAGAACAGGTTCCAATCATCCACTCAAAACAGAGTTCAACACATTCTATTTAGTGACTTTGAGAGTTTTGTTTTGGGAACACCACCCATGGATCACCATGAAAACAAACCACTCAATCAATCTGAGCCTTCAGACTCAGATGACTGTTGCTGATCTACATCTTTATTTTTTGATTTCTTCGGTTTTACCGAGCTGATGCGACGCTTTGCATCACGGATGTCAATATCAGCATTCCGCAAAGCCTCCTTGGTTGCGTTCACAAAGTCACTCACCTCACCCGGGTCCAGTGAAGACATTGGAATTTCGAGCTTGTCCATCACCAATCGCATGTGATGCTCCAAGCGGGGTTCATGATCCTCCAGGCACCTGACCTAGGTGCAGGGTAAAGTTCAAAGGGTCCAGTTCACACACACAAACCTGCAGTGATAAAATATGTACATTGTATTGCAATATATCCTTCCAATAAGACAGGGAACCAACTCACCACAATTCCGGACTCCATAGTCTCCAAGATCAGAGATGCACTGTGGGCGCGCATTCAGCAAACCCTTCACCCTTGGTTTGGTATCAGCTCCAATCCCAGGAGAACAAACAATTGCATTCTCGACAGAACTCTGATCCATCAAACAATTTACAATATCAGGTTAGTGTCTTTTTCTCCAGATCCTTGAGGTCTTTGCAAGCCAACTGCTGTGGAGTCTTCTCTTTTGGAACCTTTTTGCTCTTGATTTGACCAGTCTTCAGGTCAAATTCAGGTACTGCTTTGTTCACATTGGCCAGTTGCTGTGCAACTACCTTTTTGCTTTCCTTGTCACGAACCCGACCCGAAATTGCAGCCTGAGTTGGCCACAGAACTGGGAAGAGTGTTTGTTCCATGCCACACCAGTGTACCACACAAAGAACAGAGTCACAGCTTCAACCAAGTCTCACTGGTCTCTTGTGAGGTGCCTGTTTTGTTTTGCTCCAAAACCGACTTCAGTACCTTGTACATATAGGCGTCCTTGACGCCCGGGGCCTGCCACCGAGGATTCAGTGGAGAAGCTGAAAGCTTGGAAAGTACACAGGCCTGTGGATGGGGAATACCTTGTTGACCTAGGATATCATATGCGAAGTTTGATTCCAGATCCAAGCAGGTCGAAGGAACATATGGACGGTCATAAAATATAAGGCAAGAAACCCTTGATCAACTCGGCAATGAAGGCTCTCGCGGATTTCCCCTTGCCAAATTCTTTCTTCAGCTGTAGCAACGTCACCTGTGACAGAGTGCAAACAAGACTATTCTTAACCGCCATGCAGGTTATGTGTTCAATTCAACACTGTAGTATTAAGCACTAGGCTGTGGTATATAGATCTGTCCGCGATTGCTCCGCAAAGTTCTTGAACCTCTCTTCCACTTCCACAGTGGACAGGTCGGGGTTGGCGATAAATGTCTTCATCAATTGAAACCTGGTTCCACGCATGCACCAAGGACACCCCATATATAAACACCACAACATATAATAACAGAGTCGAACAATATCAGTTGGGGTACCTTTCACCATCGCTGCACATCTTAAGTTTGTTGATCAAACCAGCATTCATGGATCGCTTTGCTGCTCGGTTCATGGCTGCATATTGCCGGTTGCGCTCGTCCTTGTCCATTTGTGATGGTTCTGTCATAGCTTGTATTTTTGCGAGCTCCTCTGGACCCAAGTGCTTCAACCGCTTAGTTCTAGAGGAGGAAGCCGAAGAAGGTGGTGGTGTCGCCTAGGAAGAAAGTCAGAAGACAGTCTAAGTCCAGCCAATATCTTTACTCCAGCTAAAGTCCCACATGAGTGCACCCCAGCCTCATCAGTACTCAGGTTCTCGAAACTTAGCTTACGCGGACCTGGAGATAGCAAGTCCACGGATTGCATAGTGCTTTGCTTTTCATATTGGCGCAAAGCATCCTCGGCTGCCACAAGACCAAACAAGTCGAATATCACAAGCATTGAAGTTTGTTTCTCCGAGGTTCCACCTTTGCCTTTTTCATGTCTTTCTCATTTGCATGCTCACTTCCTGGTCTCTTACCTGCGCCTTTGCTCTGATCATCTTTCACCATAGCCTTGATTTTCTTTCCATTCTCTTCGAAGTTTGTTTCTACACTGCAATTGTGTCGCTTTCGCTTCTTTTCATCTGTCACAGTCTTGTCGACATAGGGAACAAGATCCAAGCCGTTTGACTTTGGGTTGCCTGTCTCTTTCAACACCGCCTTCTCTGTCTTCTTCTCGCTTTTGTCATTCTTCTCAGCCTCTGCGGTTTCTTTCTGGTCCTTGCCTCCTTCCTTTGTCATCGTTGTCCCTTCCTTCTTGTTTACCTCCTCTTCCTTGTCTTTCCAGGCTGCCTTCTCTTTCTTGTCTTTCTTCTCTTTCTTGTCCTTTTTGCTGTTGTC